AATCACAGGAAGTTAGAGGGTTTTTTCGAGTGAAAATACGACAAAATAATTTAAGTAGTGAAGATCAAGCATAAGCAGCACATTGCTCCCATCGACAACCCTTTCCTTTTCCTTCGTAGACGCTAACAGTGTAGTAACAAGATGTGCATAAAATCTTAAATCAGCCTGTTTTATGAATCACGGGACTTAAACAACTTTTCAAAGGGGCCTGCTTCAACGAGATCTTGAATCTCGTCACGCAATGGCACTCCAGATAAACATCTCTTTTTGCTGTGTGACGTGTCTGCGACACCGCCAAGCTCAATCACCCTCCTCCAAAAAATCTGAAGCAACTCGTGCACGATATCTGTTAATGCGCCCTTCCCTTCCTGCGTGCTATCTGGTGTGCCATCATGAAGTCTTTTGTTTCAGATTTGATAGTCTGTAGTCGAAATAGAACGGAGAATTCTCTGGGGGGAATAAAAACGAAGCCAACGAAATTTGTAACAAAGCGGAAAGCATTTCAATTAAACAACTGAAGATCGTATAACGAATGTTGCATTATTGAAAGGCGAGCAAATTAAAAACAATTTCATTAAACAAAAAACTCATCTAACGATAACCTCAAAATGCGTATTTCCATAACCTTATTTTCTAGAAAACACCAGTTACCCACACGTTTTTCACGAAAAATTCCCTCGAAGAATGAGATTTTTTGAGCTGTTAGTGATATAACTGGGTCAGAAAAGAAAAAATATGGCCTTTTTTGGGCTATACATTTCCCAGGTGTTCGACTGATAGCATTTCCACCACATTTTTCACTGTCCTCAAATGTGGTGCGTCTTAATTCGTCTGTACGGTGCATTTTAATTGCAATTGCCATCACTTTGCTATTACCGTCATTATTATTATTGCTATTATTATCATTATTGCTTATTTTTATCACTATCATTGTTATTATTATTACTGTCATCATTATTATTACTATTATCAGAGTCGTCATAATTATTCTGGCCCATCCCACCTACTTAAGCTATAATCATTGGAAACACCAAAATTCAAATACAATTTTTCGAAGTGAAAAATCGCAGCCAATCCTAGCAAAATGAACTAATGTTTGCCTGCTAAGAATTTTCATTGCTTTGCACTTTGGTCTGTGCAAGTTGCGAAACTCCCCACTAAAAATTTCACGCACCCATGCGTGAAAGCTGAATTTGAAACCTCGAAGGGTGAATATCCTTCCAAATATTCAAACTCCTTTCTGGCTTTTGAATAATTTTTACGACAAATCTTTCACGTGGTTGTACGTAAGACCTCGGCATAATTAGGAACTGAATTCGAGCTTCTGGAGCCTTGCTTAGACAGGGGATATCTTTTTGAAACTTTTTTTCCCACCTCCTAACTCCTCTGACTCTCGAGATAATAATTTTCCCTGTCAAAACTTTCACGGTATCGCAAGTAAAACCCAGACGTAGGGGAAGGCTGAACTCAAATTTGCAAGTTTGTAACTCAGCAGGGGAAATTACTGAAAAATTTCAGCCTCCTAGTTTCTGCAACACGAGATAATATTTCTCCTGCCAAAACTTCCAAGAGGCCTCATGTGGTACCCAGGAGTGTGTGAAGGCTGGACCCAAACTTGCGGGGTCGTATGTTGGTAGGGAACATTGTCCTAAAATTTTAAATTCCTAACTTTCGCGGTTCCCGAGACAACAGTTTTTCTCACCGAAAATTTCACGAGGCCGTAAATGATACCCGGGCACACGGGAGGGCTGAATCTAAATTTGCGAGATTGTATACGAGCAGGGGACAACACCGTAAAATTTCAGT